ATCTCTCTTAAGGACTGATTTTTGAGGTGGAGATTTAGCTCCTTGCTGAGAGAGCTAAATCTCACTTTTGTTCAACAACTTGTTTAACTGAGAATCTGATTTTTTTACTTTGATCTGAGCAACTGTTCCTAATTCCACCAGACAAGCTTGTTCACTCAATTTGATAACCACAAATTTTTACCTGAACTTCTCTCTCCTTCTTTGATCTGTTCTCATTGTTTCTGTTTGAATCTGTTTCCATTACGTAGTATTAGCATCTTATGAACAACCCCCCCCCCCCTTGCGTGTGTGTGTTGTGGAAACTGAGCAATAAATCAAGAGAAGAAATAATAGAAGACAAATCTCCCTGTGGAAGAATGACCCTACTTACCACTTTGCTACCATTTTTATAAGTGTGTAGTAATTGGGGAATAGGTTAATTTGTTGTCACCTGACAAGTGGCTAACAATTAACCAACTAACAAGTTGTTCACGGAAAGTACACCTTGTTTGTAAAGTTTAATAGGCCAAATATCACCAGTAACTCTCGTGGGTTGAAAAATAAATACTGATACTTACTTTGATCATTTTCTGAGTTTTTTCTGGCAAAGAAGGGAGCATTGATTAGGGGTATTCATGTTTAGGACTTGACTGAAAAATCTGGTCGAGTCGAATCGTTAGGTCGAAATCAAACTCGGACCGAATAGATTCCAAGTCAGACTTCAATCGGATTATTTATGATTTCGAGTTTCAGTCCGGTTTGATCCATACCCGATTAACGTCCAAACCGAAAGACCGATAAAACCCATTAATTTGGCATTTCGCGTATCCCGGCCCATTGTTCTTCACCTCTGGTCTCTGTTCTTACCATTATGACCAGTGGGGCAGTGACCATTGTATCTTTATTTCAATTTTATTGCATCCCTGATGAAGTTTTTTCAACTTAATATTATTGATGCATCTCTAATTCCCCATGATGATCTATGATAAACTGTATTTCTTTGGGTATAATTACATTTTGTAGTGTTTTACTTGTAAAACATTTAAAAACTCAATTCTAAAAAGTAAAAACAAAATTTGTACAGTTTGGTCTTTTCAGTCCATACCCATCTGGTCCAAGGATTTTCGGTTTGGTCCGGTCTAAAACCGGGCATTTATAGGTCCGTTCTTCAGTCTTAATTTTTTCTCATTTCGGTCTTCGGTTCGGTCCGGTCCTAGACCGATGAACACCTCTAGCATTGATGCCCATTTTTCAAACTATAAGTAGGTATTAGTGCTCATTAGGGATGACAATTCAACCCGAACCCGAGCTTAACCGACCCGACCGACTACTAAAATATCCGAACCCGAACCGAGAATAAAATAATCCAAACCAGACCCGAATTTTTTTACCCGAACCCGACATCGGGTCGGGTCGGGTGTGGATTTATAATTTTGCCCGACCCGACCCGCACCCGACTAAAACCCGAATATTTTATTACATAAAAGTCTATCTATGGATATAATGAGCAGTCCGTATAATCTCTTGACAAAGTGCTACTATATCAAATATGCCTTTTATAATCATTTTTATAATCCATTAATAAAAAATGAGACATAAAAAAAGAGACAAAAAAAATTAGATTTAATCTTTTCAAAATTATTGGGGTACGTCGAATTGATTATTGGTTAAAAGTCGGGTTCGAGTCAGGTTCGGGTTTCGGGTTGAAATGTCGGGTTCGGGTCGGGTCGGATTTCGGGTCGGGTTCGGGTTTCGATTTTAAAAGTCGGGTCGGGTTTGGGTATAGTGCTATCCGACCCGAACCCGACCCGTTGCCATCCCTAGTGCTCATTTCTCATTCTTCATTTATTTTTTGTTTTCTAAAATAAAGAGTAAAAACTTTATTTTCGAACTTTAAAATATGAGGAATAAAATAAGAAATAGAATAAAATGTATATCCTTTGGGGAAATCCCAATTCTAAAGACGTTTTTAGGTGTTCTAAAAATTTCTTTTTGAATAAGACTTTTTTTACTTGAAAACTTACCAAAAAAATATTATAAAAAAAGTGAAAATATTTAATTTAAGATAGATGGAGGATATGTAAATTTTTTAGAGAATCGTTTGAATCTCCGTAAGTGCACTCTCGAGTCAATTTGGTCCCTGTAAATTCAGTTTAGTCAAATTAGTCCTTGTAACTAAAAATTGTGAATCAAATTAGTCCTTTATTCAAAATTTATCTTCTAAAATTCTTAGTTATCATGTTAATTGACACAAAAAGTCATTACTCTTGCGTCAATTAACATGATAACTAAAAATTTTAAGATATAAATTTTGTTCAAATGACTAATTTGATCCAGATTTTCTATATATAGAGACTAATTTGACTCAAAGAAACTTACATGGACCAAATTTAGTCGTGAGTACACTTAGAGAGACCAAAATGAGTATTAACTCTAATTTTTTATTTTTTTCAAACACAAAGAATGTTGAATTTTGATAAAACATTATAAAAAATTAAAAAGATATTAAAAAATTAGGAAAAAAAGAAATAAATAAATAAGAGTTAAAAAAGAAAAAAACCAAATAGTAAACAAAAATGAGAAATGAGCAGGAGTGGCACTAACATGAGTGTTTTTGTTCGAAAATAACCAAGAAATGATCAGCAGGCACCAGCGTTTGCTAGCACTTGTCTTTGCTGCGCAAATTAAGGATGCTCTTTTCTCAATTCCTTAATCCTAATAACAAGGGAGCTACTGAGAGGTTTCAAATTGAAAACTTGTGGTTTTTTGCAAGGAGCTAAGGGTCAGATTTCAGAGCAGAATACTTTTTAGCATTTGGTTTTTTTTTTCAAAGGAGCTTGTGGTTTTTACAGAGGAGCATCATACGCCGGTGTGGCGTAGCTCAACAGTTGGGATCGTAGTACTACAAAGGAAATATCCCGAGTTCAAAGTCGGATGACTCCGATGAGAGACAACCATGCAAAACATGTGGCTTCTACAAGTACTATGCTCGTAACCATATCTTTATGCCAACTGACTGAGATTATAACTCAATTTACCTCCTCTCCGCTAATTGTCCAGGCAGTGTTGGAGGCGCTCGGAGATGGGGGTGTCATCCACTCATCCTTACAAAGGAGCATTATAAAGTGAGAAAGAAGATGAGCTTTTGTATGTATGTGTGTGTGTGTTTTTCTGAAACAAATGCGACATAAATGGGTTCTATTTAAATTGACAAACTTTAGTTGGAAAAACATAACCAAATGAAGTCATACTTCATCCCTTCAAGTCTATTTTTCCATAAGGTGTGAAACCTATATATTTAATGTGAAATTCACAATAGATAATATTTTCGTTAGTGTTTTGAATTATTTTTTAACAGTGCAAATTAATTTTAAAAATGTTAGGATTAAATAGTCTTTTCAAAAGCTTAAAGCGTAGGCAGGATCTATTGCTAGACTTAAAAATGCAAAGAAAATGAAACCTCAATCTCCACTAACTCAGAATCCCATTGTAACGTCGGAGACTTCCTGATCGGCGGCGGCGGCTATTTCCTTACCCACCACAGATGTCTTATTATCCGGCACGGCAGAGGCGGGTCTGGATTTGACGGCGTCGAGCAAGCGTTTGCTGACCTCTTTGGAATAGGCCTGGAGGATCTGGATGCCTTCGTCTCCGGGAGTAGCGGCGGCGGCGGCGGCGTTAAAAGCTTCCTTCTCAATAGCCCTGGAGAGTGCAGGGCCCTCCTCCGGTGGAATGGTTCCGTACCGCTCCGTCAGAACAGACGTCCCCGTGAGCGTCTGGATGAGGCGGTTAACGACGGCGCCGCGGGTCCTCTGGCCCGGCGGCCAGATGCTGAAGGAGAAGTCCATCGGATTCCGGGAAGCGTCGGAAGCGGATTCGCGCTTTTCCGGTGCCTCGACTTCCAGGTGTCGGATGTTGTCGGGCATTTTGAAATTTGAATTGCAAAAGCAAAGTCTGCGGAGAATTAAAATTTCAAAAAATATGTGAGTATTTATCTTTACTGTATTGGGCTTGGCCGCCTGATATGATTATGGGCTGCATCGAATAGGCTCCAACTTTGGGTTGTTTTGTGTAATTCAAAACAACCAATGTGTAGATGAACACTACATTATTTGTAGATAAATATTATAATTATATTGAACCAATGTATGAAAATGAGTACTGCATTATTTTAGAATGAGTATCACGCTAATTATATTTGTGCGAGAATGAGTACTACTATACTTCAGAATGAGTACTGCCCGGATGTACCTATCTCTAAGTACATCCGGTTGTACGATATAGGAACTCATATGAGGAGGCATATCTCATAACTTTTAAATTTGTCTTTTTCAAAAGAAAATTCTGTTTCAAGAAAAAATATCTCATCTATACCAAGATTGTTGTTTTACTTTCTTGTTTTGCTCATCCTAAAAATATTTATGTGTTGCTTAAAATGTCAACTTTTGCAATGTTAAATAATAATGAAGCCCCCATCAATCTATCATTCCTTTTCATACGACATGGATTACCCACGATGTGTCTTTTTCGTTTAAGGACACCAAATGCTCTTTCAATATCCTTTCTCGCTACCTCTTATGCCTTCTTGAAATATGTTCTTTTCTCATCCTCCACGCGGGGACATGTAAATGATTTCACAAGCGTCACGTACTCGGCATAAATGTCATCACCAAGATAATATCCATATTTATAATAAGTGTCATTATAAATAAAAAAGAGGTTATAAACATCATCAAATATTGGAGTTTGATCAATGAAAATGATATCGTTACACGATCCTGCAACGCCAAAGTACGCATGTCATATCTAAAGATCATTTGAAGCGACCGCTTCGATCACTAATGTTGGACTTGGGTGATCACCGTGTTGATGTGACTCTCGCCAAGCCGTTGGCAGTTTTTCTATGCCCAATGTGTACAATCAATGCTTCCCAGCATCCTAGGAAAACCATGCACATGCTCGTGGATAGTATATATCTGTTGAATGTCGCTACACGACGACTTTCGAAAATATCTACAATCGTATAGATTGATGATGCCTAAAAATAATTTTAAGTCATGTACATAAAATTTGGAAGTATTTAGACGTATGATATATTAAACTAAAAACGATTTACTTATGGTGGAGTTAAAAAAATTTACCTTTACAAAAATGAGAAAGACTATCACGAGAAATTTTGTCTGACATCTTAAAATACTCGTCCCATGATTCGCTTGCGGTGCCACATGCAAGTTGTCGGATAGCGCTTGTGCACTTATGCAGCGAGATGAATCCTTTTGCTCTCGTATCATCTATCCTTTGTTGAAAATAAGAAAAATAATGCTCCTCTATAATGTCGTTGACAATAGAATTGAATTGATTGTGAGTGATCCGAAAACCATGTTTAAATTGATCATCGTTATAAATTGGGGTTTCTGAAAAATAATCTTGAATTAGGCATTGGTTGGCAGCACCACGGTCCCGGATGGTCCTTCTCTGATGTGTAATCTCTTGGGAGGAATTCTCATTAAAATAGCTATGATAGTGCTTATCATAGCTTCAACGGAACAGAGAAACAAAAACGCTGAAATCGTCATCGTCGGAAGACGAGAACGGGTTATTTTCTTCATCCAAATTCATTTCTTTTCAATGGAATACGTATAGTAGTTGATTTTTGGGAGTGAGCTTCCCATTCTTCTGCACTCTATTTATGGCCAATTTTTTTGTGCCTAACATCTATATTTATTTTTTTTTAAAAAAATGTTTATTTAAAGGCTACAAAGCCGTTGGGAACGGCTAAATCCAGCGAAAAGAATCGGGGCAGGCAATCAAGCCCCACGCGTCACACCAACCGTGTTGCCGATGTCAAGCCGTGACGGGGAGTGGCTACGTCACCGATGGTACCGCGGTATTAATCACGCTTCATAACACATGGTTTGATAAGATGGAGACGTGACGCTGAATTGATAGAACAAGGAAAAGGGATACTATGAATCAATAGCCCATCGCATAATGCGAATGGTTGGAAGAAGCGCGGATAACACTATACATGAGGCGCGTATAAGAAAAAGCGTTACTCTTCTTGTTATTACATCGTTGATTGTTCCATCAAGGTTTAGGGGCTGTTTGGCAACTTTTGAATAAGTAAGTGCTGAAACTGTAAAAGGTCTGAACCATTAAGTGCTGAACCAGTAAGAGGTCTGAACCATTGAGAGCTAGTATATTGCTTAACTATTTAGAGGCAAATGTATGTCTGATCAATTCAAATAAGAGGTCTTAACCATTCAGACTCTGTATAATACTTAACCATTCAGAGGCAAATGTCTGAGCCATTCAGACATCTGAACCATTAAGATGCTGAAACAAACAGTCTGAACCATTAAGTGCTAAACCATTTAGACATCTGAATCATTAAAAGGCTGAAACAAACAGCCTCTTAGTGTTTCTATACTCGGTTTAATAAAAGCGTTACTCGTATAATAATCCTAGACTCCAACATAATTAGGCACCAGAAAAGAAAGAAACAATAATTTACCAAACAAAAAGTAGCAAACCTCAAATGGGCTGGTCAACCAAGAATCTTCAAAAGCAGAGCTGGGTCAATCTTTTTCTGCTCTCTGTAATCCTTAAAATTCAACCTTCCCAACTTTCTTCTCCGCTGTAATTTCTTCCATCATATAACAACACCCTAAACCTTAGACTTCACTGTGTCTTTCAATTTCAATGTTTTCCGGTCATGATCCGTTTTCTTAGGTTGTTCATCGCGGTTCTGTCCTTTTCGTCCCTCGTTTTCGCCGCCGTCGACACTGTTCCGAAAGGCCGTGTTTTCAGAGACGGCGAGAACTTAACGTCGTTTGGGGGGAAATTCGTGTTGGGGTTCTTCAGTCCGGAGGGAACAACAAACAGGTACGTCGGAATATGGTACAATCACATTTCTCCGCTGTCCGTCGTTTGGGTGGCTAATCGGGACAAGCCACTCCGGGACCGGAACGGGAGTTTCGGAATCTCCGGCAACGGCGATTTCGTCGTTTTGGACGGAACGGATGGGGACCCACTCTGGAGAACAAACGTCTCTGCCACGCCGAATAATGCTTCTCTGGTTCTAACCGACGGCGGAGAGCTTGTGATCTGCACAGACCCAGAGAGGATTAACGGGATCCTGTGGCGGAGCTTCGACAACCCGACGGACACATTCTTGCCGGAGATGAAGGTGAACGTTACTACTGGGGAACGGAAAATCTTCACTTCTTGGAAGACTCCCGGAGACCCTTCCCCGGGGAGGTTCACCATGGGGATCGACGGCAGAGGATCGCCGCAGATCGTGATTTGGGACGGAGAGAAACGGAGATGGAGAAGCGGCCATTGGAATCGACTGGTCTTCTTGGGCGTGCCGGGTATGAGGGCAATTTCGGTATACGGTTTTAATCTGTACAATGACTTCAACGGCGTCTACTTCAAATACACCCCTTCCAACCCTTCGGATTTTATAAGGTTCTATTTCTAGTAACACATTCATTGTTCAAATCATACTATGATACCAATTTTCGACACAATTTTTAACACCAAAACATGAAAAAAAAAATTTGAACAACAATGCGATTCATATATCAAAATATAAAATTGTGTCACTTACCTATGAAACATACCTATGCAACATCCTATTTAAAGGATAAAAACATAAGATGATGTTTTATTTTTGTTACACGACAGATTCATGGTTGATGCGGAAGGTAACGAGCTGCAACAAAAGTGGGACACGAGCAAGAAGGAATGGAGTGAGATTCAATATCAACCATCTCTTCCTTGCGGGATTTACAATCGATGTGGGAAATTTGCTACGTGCGACTCTTCGTCAGTTCCAAATATCTGTAGTTGCATGCACGGATTCCTTCCAAGCAATCAGAACGAATGGGATTCGGGGAATTGGTCAGAAGGTTGTGTGAGGAGGACAGAATTGCAATGTCGTCGCAATAATAACAATAACACAGACAAGTACAGTGGCGAAAAAGACGGATTTCGTAAAGTCAAAGATATCAAACTGCCAGATTTCGCAGACGCTCAAGACGATGCAAGAAGTGAAGAAGAATGTAAAAAGAAGTGTGAGGAGGACTGTTCTTGCAATGCATATGCACTTCTTGATGGGATCCCATGTATGATATGGAGAGGTGACCTTGTTGACATGCAAGAGTTTGAAGAAGGCAGCGGGAGCATTCTTTCCCTTCGTCTTCCTCATTCTGAACTAGGTAAAATAACCATGTCAATCTAAAGTTCAAGCCTGTGATTTTAAGTCCAGAAAAAGTTTTTATACTCAAACACAAAATAATTGTATGAACAGGAGATAAAAACAGGAGAAGGACAATTATAATAACAGTCGTCGTAGGGACATCTGCAGCCACAACTCTTGTTTCCTTTGCCATTTGGATAGTATATAAGCGCCAATTAAAGAGAAAGAAGGTTGAGGCAGAGAAACCCAACGACAGTGTAGAGTCCTCTACAGATTTGTCCGGGGAATGCCAAGAAGGGAAGAAAGGGTCAGATTTGGTGATGTTCTCCTTCAGCGCCATGGAAGCCGCCACCAATTACTTCTCGCACGAAAACAAGTTGGGACAGGGAGGATTTGGACATGTTTATAAGGTAAATTAAATCAAATTCTTGATTCCTCAAGAAAATCTTGATTTAGCAGAAGATAATGTGCATTTATATGTTCAGGGGGTGCTACCAACTGGTCAAGAAGTAGCTATAAAAAGGTTGTCTAGAAAATCAGGACAAGGGGTGCAGGAGTTCACAAATGAAGTCACTGTGATTGCCAAGTTACAGCATAGAAATCTTGTTAAGCTTCTGGGCTGCTGCGTTGAAGGAGACGAAAAGATGTTGCTTTACGAGTACATGCCAAACAAGAGCTTGAACTCTTTTCTTTTTGGTTAGTCTCTGCCTTTAAATTTAGTTGTTCGTTTTTTTAAATGTTTAGTTAGCATGCATTGCTAAAGAATTGTTTTTTTCTGAATGGCAGATCCTGCAAAGCGGGGCGAGTTGGACTGGACGAAGAGATACCATATCATCAAAGAGATTGCACGAGGGTTGTTATATCTCCATCGCGATTCGAGACTTAGAATAATTCACAGGGACTTGAAGGCGAGCAATATTTTGTTAGATGCCGAGATGAACCCCAAAATTTCAGACTTTGGCATGGCTAGGATATTCGGAGGGAACCAAGGGGAAGAAAACACAAACAGGGTTGTTGGCACTTAGTGAGTACTTACTTTGTCCTATAATAAAATTCCACAATTTACTATCTAGACTATTTTTTTTTCTATCTAGACTATTTGGCTCTCAAGTTAATTTACTTATTTTCTTTTTTTGTAGCGGCTATATGGCTCCGGAATACGCAATGGAAGGCTTGTTTTCGGTGAAGTCTGATGTCTATAGCTTCGGTGTCTTACTACTAGAGATCGTTAGTGGTCGAAGGAGTGCGAGCTTTCGATCTGGCAACCACTCGGGCATCGTAGAATATGTAGGTCACACAACAACACTTATATGTTCAATAATTAAGTTGTTGCAAAATTGAAGAATTAATCAATGTTCTAAAACAAGTTTAATTTGTTGATTGTATAAATGTAGGCATGGGATGAGTGGGATCAAGGCAAACCAATGAACCTAATGGACCCTTCCATCTTTAGTTCATGTGTACCACAACAAGTGTTGAGATGCATACAAATTGGGCTTCTTTGTGTGCAAGACTTGGCGGTTCACCGACCAAACATGTCTGCAGTGGTGTTGTTTCTTGAAACCGACGATGTGGCTCTGCCCGCCCCGAGACCGCCCACGTACAGCGCCTCTATGAGAAGAACAGATGGTGTTGATTCTTGGAACGAGAGCGAGGATCTTCCTAGCGGAAACAGCATCACTTTTAGTGTTATTGTTGGTAGATGACATGGCTCATCTTGTGCAAATCTAATACTCAATTGAAAAGAAACAATTTTAGGAACTACTTAATTAACATGAATGAGATTTACTCAAAGTTTAATGATGTGATATTGTAGAATTAGATATGTACTAGACCCATGCAATTTGAGAGCATAGACAACGACAAGTTGATCTTAGAATGCCAGGCGGTGACATGACACAATACAAACAATCAAAAAATGCATTGTCACACAGTGGCATTCTAGTGAACTGACATCCCTGTAGTGGCAAGTATTAGTTTTTGTTAATGCTAACATTTTTGACACACTTTAATTAGTCCATGGGTGTTTTATTTTTTACGGAGTATATTATAAATATTTGTATTTTCCTGTAATGATTTTAATTATATTAAGAGAAAATTAATTTTTGTAATTATTTAAATTAAATTGCATAATTTCAGATGCAAATATTAATTTTTTGAATATATATATTTTTAGTTACAAAAAAAAGTATAGATTTTTTAAAATGAAAACAGATTCTAACGCAAAAAAAAGGACAACTAAAAAAGGGTTAGATTATTTCTAAGAAGTTGGATTAAAAAAAGGAAAAAATAAAAAAGTAAAAAAATTGGAAAGCATTGCCAGCCATTTGCCACGGATGGAGGGTGGATCGCCCATAGACAGTGGCAGATCCAGAAAACATGTGGACTGGGAGACGAATAATAGGGCAAGGTACGGGGACAGCGCCTCTAGAATTTATTTTGAAAGACAACGTGAAACGACATTTATAATGTTGAATTTCATCTCAATGTTGTGAATCACTATGCATTACTTAAAATTAAGTAAATAAGTAATTTAAAACTTAAAACTTATTTATAAGTAAATTAATATAACTAATTTTAGAATGTATAGGAATGTACAGAGTATTAAATAACTAATTAATGCTCCGTATAACTAATTATAGAATATAAAAAATTTAGAATGTATAGGAAGTTGTGCGAAATAGAGGGTAAACAGTCCTAAACACTATTTTTGGTAGAACAAGAATCTAAAATGAAGACCAAGCAACAGCCGCCTCTCTGTTACACAAGAGTCAAGACACGCTCGAGAAAAGTCAAATGGAACAAAGAAAATAAAAACATGCTCTGAATTATTTCATTCTCCTTTTTCCACAAACCCCACGATATATGTGAACACCGGAGAACCCAGCCTGCGAATTTTCAAAACAACCAATTCAAGGACGATGACCGCCATGAAACCCCATAGCTACCGATCCCTCTGCTTCTTCATAATCCCCCACCTTCTCATCTCCATAGCTAATGCAGTTGACACCATCACTCCCGCACATCCCCTCACCGGAAACCAAACCTTAGTCTCCGCCGGTGAGCTCTTCGAGTTGGGGTTCTTTGCTTCCGGCGACTCCGGCCACCGGTACGTCGGGATATGGTACAAGAAAATCAAAGACAGAACAGTTGTCTGGGTCGCAAACAGAGACAACCCACTCATGGATTCCGCCGGGATCTTGAAAATCGGCGAGGACGGGAACATCCACTTGATCGACAGTGCCGGAGATTCAATCTGGTCATCCTCGTGGAACCGAACAGACACATCCGTTCCTAGAAACATATTCGCCCAGCTTCTGGATTCTGGGAATTTCGTTCTTGCCGGAGAAACAGGGGATTATCTGTGGCAAAGCTTTGATTACCCGACAGACACATTGTTACCAGGAATGAAGCTGGGATGGGATTCCAAGACCGGGATTAATCGATACATTTCATCTTGGAAAAGCCCGAAAGATCCGGGACAAGGGGATATAAGCTTCAAGCTAGACATTAATGGCTACCCAGAAGCTTTCTTGAGGAACAAAGACTTGATCTTTTACAGAAGCGGAGCTTGGAATGGAGTCCGGTTCAGCGGAGTCCCGGAAATGGAGACAGAAGGAGTCATCAGCTTCTCATTTAAGATGACAAAAGATGAAATCTACTACACATTCCAGATTCAGAACCAAACCCTGTACTCGAGATTGATCGTGAACCAGACCGAGTTTCTGGAGAGGTACACGTGGGTCCCGGAGAGCGAAATCTGGAACAGATTCTGGTACGCGCCGAAAGACCAGTGCGACGAGTACCGGGAATGCGGTCCGTTCGGGCGGTGCGACGCCGACGGTTCGCCGGTTTGCCAGTGTTTGACCGGGTTCAAACCCAGAAACAAGCAGGCCTGGGATTTGCGAGACGGGTCGGACGGGTGCGTTCGGGTCAAGGAATTGGGCTGCGGCGGCGATGGGTTTATTGCGTGGAACTACACGAAGTTGCCGGAGAGTGGGGGCGCGTTTGTGGACGAGGGGATGCGGTTGGACGAGTGCGAGAAGATGTGCGTTGGGAATTGCTCGTGCACGGCTTATAGCAGCGCCAATGTCAGCGGCGGCAGTGGGTCGGGTTGCGTGATTTGGACGGCGGAGCTTCTGGATATGCGGAAGTTTCCGGCGGAAGGTGACCAACTTCTCTACGTCCGGGTGGCAGCTTTTGATGCAGGTATTCTTTTTTTCCCTTCACATTTGGGAGATTTTTCGCACGTTTATTCATCTCCATATACGCCTAATACGAGTATATATTTTGGGTTAAAATAAAGTTTTAAAAAGATCATGTAAAAAATGATCCTTACATAAAAGAAGTATTTATCAAAATGCCCTGTAAATGTTTCGTATTTGGTGGACTACCCTGTAAAGGTGAATTGACGGAAATGTCCAGGCGTGTATGACCGACGCGCTACTTTGAAAATTATAAGTTATTCCATTTAACGAAGCGTAAACGGCGTTTCAACTTCAAATTTAAATAAAAAATCCGAGAATGGGCGAAACGACGTCGGAAGAGACTATACAAAAACCCTCCATAAACATCTTCCTTCATCGTGCGACCATTGAGTTTTCGATCTGTGTGTGCTCTATCCCCCCTCTTCGACACCTGCAAAACTTGATCGAAACCCTACCCATCCAAAGTTACCGGTCTCGGAAAACCTTGAATTTCTACAATGAGGACGAAGAGTGCTTCTGTGTCTTCCTCCATGAATGGAAACGATGAGTATCATGCGGAAGAGAGGATGAAAGAGCACAACGGTAGCCCAAAGCCCACACAAGGAACATTCGAGGTCAGAAACTTGATTTTAAATGAATTATTCTCTCTCCAAATAACCAATGGACAATGGTTTATGAATTTAAAGTCCGATCGACTTCATTGATCGACTAAAATAAGTGTCGACCTCATGGTCGCACTAATTGCATATCTTTCC